CAAGTTACGCTGCTGTGAGCAAGACATGTAATTTTTGAAATTCTAGGTTAGCTTTAAGCTGCTTCAGGCTTCTTTTGGAGAAGGTACGCAGGCACTTGAGTGGTGTGTGTGGCCCTTAAAGATCCCTGGTTGGTTTTCATCAGTAGGGCACTGGCACGGGTTTCCTGGCTCGGCAGACTCGGTTAATTACTCTGTTTCCTGAAATTTCTGCTGCAGGATGGAGATGGGTTTAGGGCTGTTCTGTTTATTCTGAAACAGAACTCCCAGAAAGTGCAGGCTGGTTCCTGTGTTGCTTGTAATGGGCTTTAGAAGTCCTCAGCTTGAAAAGTACAGCAGGAGCGGACGGTGCTAAATAAGGTGGGATTAGACACGGCACCGGCGGCACGTACCCTGTAGCGGGGCAGCACAGAAAGCTTCGTTTGTGTCGTCCTGCAGGCCTGGGGCGTGTGCTGTGGGTTGGTTTGTCACGGGGATGTCATTACATGTTAGCGTTTCTCTCTTTTTCCAAACGCTCGATGTGCACAGAACTGAGAGTGTTCCCACACTTTATTTTCAGACGTCTCCCAGGCGAGCTGCAGGGCTGAGCTGTGATTTGTGGGGCAGTAAGGCCTGTGGAGTTTATCTGGTTCTCTCAAACTACTGCTGTGCTGCTCAGAAATGACCATCTGTAATTGCAGCCTGTGCTTTGGCTTTTAGGGACTTGGGAAGCAAAGTCAAACCCAAATGATCGGCTCCTTTTGTACTTTATGGAAACGTCAGGGTGAGCGTCGTGCGCGCCCGGAGGTTCGTGCCGCAGCCTCAGCCGTGCGGGTGCGTGCTGCAGCGGGACCGGGTGCGTGTCCCCGGGGGCAGGAGCCGTGTCTGGGCTGGGGCACGGCGCTGCTGCTCTGCGCTCGGCGTGCAACGCATACCATGTCCTAGGCTCACGCCAGATGGGAATTTTCTTTTCAAGCCTAACCCCAAAGTAGTCCTCAAAGCCTTGTGGGCGTTGTGGATTGAAGGACTGACTGGGAAATCGGCGTTTCTTTGCTTAATTTGGGGCGACTGGGAGGGATCTGATTGTGCGGCTGGAAGCCGGTCGAGGGCCGCTGAGAGCGGGCTGCCCCTGACACCTGCAGCTGTGGCATCCCGCGTAGCCAGGGCTCTCCCCTCACCTCCCCGGCTCTCCCCATGGCTCGTGCCCGTGCTGCGGAGCGAGCCCCTCTCCTGGCAGGGAGGCCGCGGGACTTGGCTGCCGTGGCCCTGCGGGTTTGCCGGCGCGCCAGCCGGCGGGGCAGAGGCGACGGGTGCTGGCACGGAGCGGGCGTGTGTGTCCCCGGCCTGCGCGGCTGCACAAGGCTGAGGCTGCTCGTGGCGGGAGGATGATGGAGCGT